TGGGTGCAAATCCCAGCTCTGCTACCACAAGCCACTCAATCACCTGTGTCTTTGTCAGTATGAGGGCACATCCCAGGTTGTGGGCTCGATCCCCAATGGGGGGTGTGCAGGAAGCAGCCAATCAATGATTCTCATCTTTGATACTTCTGTCTCTCCCTCTCCTTCCTCTCTGAAATCAATAAAAATATATTTTTTAAAAAGAAAAGAAAAATAAGGGGAAATACATTTACAGTATTTACCGAAAAAAAATCCACATAGGAAGTAGACCTATGCAGTTCAAGCCCATGTTATTCAAGAGTCAACATATTTAGAATGAAAAAGAAATCCCAGCAAATTATTAGAGGCTTAGAGATTTAATGTCCCTTTTAAAATATATATATTTATTGATTTCAGAAAGAGAGAGAAACATCAATGATGAGAGAGAACCATTGATTGGTTCCCCTACTGGGGATTGAGCCCACAACCCGAGCATGGGCCCTTGACCAGAATCGAACCCGGGACCCTTCAGTCCACAGGCTGACACTCTATCCACTGAGCCAAACCAGCTAGGGCTTAATGTTCCTTTTGACAGCTCTCTGGGCACTTCACTGGAAATGTTTCCCTAGAAATACTTTAAAGAAATGTTTTTTTCTTGATTTCAGAGAGGAAAGGGAGGCAGAGATAGAAACATCAATGATAAAAGAGAATCATTGATTGGCTGCCTCCTGCACGCTCCTACTGGGGATCGAGCCTGCAACTCGGGCTTGTGCCCTGACCGGGAATTGAACTGTGACCTCCTGGCTCATAGGTCTACGCTCAACCACTGAGCCACTCCTGCTGGGCTAGAAATACTTCCTAGTTGCCACCTGGCTTCACTCCACTAGAAAACTAGGCCAGTGATTCTCAAAGTGTGGTCCCAACTGGCAGCATCAGGATAACTGCAAATTCTTGCCCCACTCCACCTGCTGAATCAGAAACCTGGTGGAGGCGCCCTTCAGGTGAACATCTCAGCCCCCCACGTCCTCAGTGGTATGGAGGGGGTTCTGTTTTTCCCTGTTGAGTTGAAGTGTGGCATACACACAACAGGACAGCAGGCAGCCGGATGGACTTTTGCATAGTGAACCCTCATGTAGCCACCACCCTGGTGCAGGGGTTTCCATCACATGAGAGACACACCTTGGAGACGCATAAAAACCCAAGGAAGGAGTTGGCAAGGGTACGCCAGTGGGGACCTTTGCACATGGCCCTAAGCCCCAGCACACACTGGCTAACACAAAGGAAATGCCTGTCTCCTCCCAGGAGCCCCCTCCCATTCGCAGGGCGACTCTGCGCATGCGCTAGGCCTGGCCCCTCCAGACTCCCCACGAGGCTCAGCCCTACCCCTGCCCTCCGCCCCCCC